GTTCCTCTTGGGCTGCTTTCCTTTCCCAAATTCCCCTCTGTGCTTCCCAAGTTCCTCTTGGGCCACTTTCCCTCTCCCAGATTCCCCTCTGTGCTCCCCAGGTTCCTCCTCTCCCAAGTGGAAATGTGCTGCATGTCCCTCTTGGGCTGCTTTCCCTCTCCCAAATTCCCCTCTCCCAAATCCCCCTCTGTGCTCCATGTCCCTCTGGGGCCACTTCCCCTCTCCCAGATGGGAATGTGCTGCAGGGCTTGGGGGCTGCACGACCGGGCGGGAACACGCCCCAAACACGGCCTGTCCTCGCTTCTCTTCCCAGATCTCCATAAATTCCTGGCTCCTGGTGTATCCCAAGCGGCTGCAGCAGGTGGCCCAGGACCTGCTGGCAGCCGTGAGGAGCACCTGTGGGGCCATGGGGATGCAGGTGGGACAGCCCACGGTGCAGGAGCTGCGGGACGAGCGCATCGAGTCCTACGTCAAGAGCATCCGGAGCGGTTTGGGAAGCCAGGTGGGGAGGGGGGACGTTCCCAGGGGATCACCAGGCAGGTGGGAGCACCTGGAAGGGCTCAGCCTGGAGGAAAGGAGGCTCAGGAGGGACTTTATTGCTCCCTAAAACTCCCTGGCAGGAGGGAGGAGCTGGGGTGGGGAGTCAGGCTCTGCTCCCAGGGAACAAAGGACAGGGGAGGCTCAGGTTGGACATCAGCAGGAATTTCCTCGTGGAAAGGGCTGTCAGGCATTGGAAGGGGCTGCCCAGGGAGGTGGAGGTGGAGTCCCCACCCCTGGAGGTGTCCAAAATCCACACGGGAACACGGGTTAGTGGTGGCGGCCTTAGGTTTGGCTCGGTGATCTCGGAGGGCTTTTCCAACCCCGACAATTCCACGATTCCTGGCAGGAAAAGGTGCAGCTGCTCGTGTGCATCACCCCCCGCAACAGGGACGACATGTACGGGGCCATCAAGAAGCTGTGCTGCGTCCAGGCCCCTGTGCCCTCCCAGGTGGGCCCAGCAGGGTGGGACCACCATTCCCGGGAAGCTCCGGGTGCTTTTCCAGCCTCGCTTTTCCACGTGTTTTCCCGCCCCGTAGGTCATCAACGCCCAGTCCCTCATGGGCCATCCCGGCAAGATCAGGAGCGTGGTCCAGAAAGTTCTGCTGCAGATCAACTGCAAGCTGGGCGGGCAGCTCTGGGGGGTTGACATCCCGCTGGTAAGGCAGGAAAACCCCTGGAAAAGGCCTGGGATGAGCTTGGAAGCTCTGAGGGGGTGAATTATTGTAGTCACGGGCTTCCCTCGCCGGCTGGAGAACTGGGGGTTGGATTCTCTTTGGAGCACGGGAGTCCCTCGCAGATGGAGGGATCCGAGCCTGGAGGTGTCTTGGCTTATCCCTAAATCCCACCTGGCTGGTTTTTTCCCCCCCCTTTCCCAGAAACAGCTGATGGTTGTTGGCATGGACGTCCACCACAGCCGCAGCCAAGGGATGCGCTCCGTCATCGGCTTCGTGGCCAGTATGAACCAGTACGTGGAGTCCTGGGAGGGGGGAAGGTGTTCCTCCGGCTCTGCCCTGGGAATCTGGCGGGATTCCACCCCAAAATCCCCCTCCTTGGACGGGAAGGGGGGCGAGGGTGCTGCTTTTCCCGACCCGCAAGGCGTTCGCCGGCGTGTTTGTGCTGGGAATCGCTGGGAAAAGGGCTGGGAATGCTGAGCTGGTGGACTTTGCCCGGTGACAGTGTGTGTGTGGGGGGGTTTTCCTGATGCTCATTCCCATTCCATCCCCAGCATCCTCACCAAGTGGTATTCCAGGGTGGTTTTCCAGATGCCCCACCAGGAGATCGCCGACAGCCTCCGGCTCTGCCTCTCCCAAGCCCTCCAGCGCTTCTACGAGGTGAGGCCAACAAAAAAAAAACCCTCCCAGGGTTTGATATTCCCTCAAAACAAGGGGAAAACACCCCAAAACTGCCGCTCTGGAGCTGGCAAAGCTCCCCAGCAGCCTTTGGACTGGATGTGGAGCCGGGACAGCTCATCCTTATCTCGGGAACGTGCGAACCGGCCCCGGGGATTAGTTTGCACAGAGGGAAGTGCCACGTTCCACCCCTGTCAGCACTGAAGGGCTGAGCCCTGGCCCTCGTCCCCACAGCAGGAGAAAAACAGCCTGGGACAAGGGCCAGGAGAAATCCCAGCACTTGGGATTTGCCTGGAGAAGCTGTGGCTGCTCCATCCCTGGAAGTGTCCCAGGCCAGGTTGGAGCAGCCTGGGATAGTGGGAGGTGTCCCTGCCCGTGGAACTGGATGATTTTAAGGTCCCTTCCAAGCCAGAGCATCCCAGGATTCTGTGATCCTGTTTTCCCAGCCCTCTGTGGGGGCTGGAGGAACAGCCCTGGGCACTGGGAGTTTGCTGGGCAGGAGGACCAGGATACAGGGAATGGCTTCCCACTGCCAGAGGGCAGGGTTAGGTGGGATATTGGGAAGGAATTCCTGGCTCTGAGGGCGGGGAGGCCCTGGAATGGATTTCCCAGAGAATCTGTGGCTGCCCCTGGATCCTTGGAAGTGTCCAAGGCCAGGTTGGAGCAACCTGGGCTAGTGGGAGGTGTCCCTGCTTGTGCACCTGGATGATTTTAAAGTCTCTTCCCACCCAGACCATTCTGGAATTCTGTGATTAGCACAAACACAGCCCTCCCAAAACCCCACTCTGAGCTGCATTTTGGGGAAGGGGGGGAGGAGCTGAGCCTGGTCAGGGGCTCTGTGGGCCATGAGTTGGGTCCTGACCTCCATCCCTGGAGACACAGCGAGCATCTCCAGGCCAGGGAATGTTTTCCCACCAATCCTGTGCATATTGGGGGGGTGAAAAAACACCGAATTCTTCCCCTTTTTACCTCCCCACTGCCAGCTGAACCACTCTCTGCCCATGAAGATCGTGGTGTACCGGGACGGGGTGTCCGACCCCCAGCTGGACACGGTGCTCAAGTACGAGGTGCCCCAGATGCAGAAGAGCTTCCACACCTTCGAGAACTACCAGCCCAGCCTGGTGGTCGTGGTGGTGCAGAAGCAAATCAGCACCAACTTCTACGGCCTGACGGGAGAGGAGCTCACGTCCCCCCCGCCCGGCACCGTCCTCGACCACACCATCACCACCTCGGGCTGGTGAGTGGCACCTCCGGGGCTGGGGGAGGTGAAAAGGGGGGAAAAACACCCCTGGGAGGGGAGAAAAAACCCGCCCTGGGGTGTGAAAAAACTCCAGGGTGCGAAAAAATGGTGAAAATCAGCCCGGGGAGCAAAAAAAAAGGGTGGTAGGAACACCCCAGGGTGCAAAAAAAACCACCCTGGGGGGTGAGATAACCAACCCTGGGGTGCAAAAAAATCATTGTGGACACCCCAGGGTGCAAATAAATGGTTGTAAAATCACCCCAGGGTGCAAAAAAACCACCCTGGGGGGTGAAATAACCAACCCTGGGGTGCAGAAAAATCATTGTGGACACCCCAGGGTGCAAACAAATGGTTGTAAAATCACCCCGGGGTGCAAAAAAACCACCTTGGGGTGCAAAAATCATTGTTAAAACACCTCAGGGTGCAAATAAATGGTTGTAAGATCACCCCAGGGTGCAAAAAAACCACCCTGGGGGGTGAAATAACCAACCCTGGGGTGCAAAAAAATCATTGTGGACACCCCAGAGTGCAAACAAATGGTTGTAAAATCATCCCAGGGTGCAAAAAAAACACCCTGAGGTGCAAAAAGTCATTGCAGACATCCCAGGGTGCAAATAAATGGTTGTAAGATCACCCCAGGGTGCAAAAAAAAAGCCACCCTAGGGTGTGAAATAACCAGCCCTGGGGTGCAAAAAATCATTGTAGACACCCCAGGGTGCAAATAAATGGTTGTAAAATCACCCCGGGGTGCAAAAAAATCCCTGAGTGCAAAAAATTAGTGCAAAAAACTCACCCTGGGGTGTAAAAAAAAACCCCTGGGGTGCAAAAAATTATTGTTAAAACAACCCAGGGTGCAAACAAATGGTGTAAAAAGCCCTTTTTACACCCCCAGGAAGGATTTCTTCCTGCTGGCCCACAGCTCCCGGCAGGGCTGCAGCATTCCCACCCGCTACATCTGCATGTGGAACACGGCCAACCTGAGCCAAGAGCACCTCCAGAGGTGAGGGCAGGGGTCCAGAGCTCCCCAAAATCCCCCAGAGGGCAGGGCAGGGGTCCCAGAGCCCTCTGAGCACTTCCAGAGTTAAAGGGAAGGGTCCAGAGCTCCCCAAAATCCTCCAGAGGGAAGGGCGGGGGGCCTGGAGTTCCCTGAGATCCTTCAGCCCCCTCCCAAAATCCTAAAGGGATAAGGGCAAGGAGCCCAGAGGTCCTCAGAGTCCTGCAGGAATAAGGGCAGGGGGCCCAGAGCTCCCCAAAATCCCCCTGAGGGCAGGGCAGGGGTCCCAGAGCCCTCTGAGCACTTCCAGAGGTAAGGGAAGGGTCTAGAGACCCCCAAAATCCTCCAGAGGGAAGGGCAGGGGCTCCTCAAAATCCTGCCCAGAGCCCTCCAAGCACCTCTGGAGGGAAGGGCAGGGGTCCCAGAGCCCCCCAAGACCCTACAGCCCCCCCCAAAATCTGCAGAGGGAAGGGAGGGGGGTTGGAGTCCCTCCTTATCCTACAGACCCCCGAAATCCTGCAGAGGGAAGGGCAGCTTTCCTGGAAACCCCCCCAATATCCTGCAGCCCCCCAGTGTCCTGCAGAGGGAAGAGCAGTCTTGTTTCAGTGTGAGGACCCCCAAAATTTGGGGAGTTTTGGGTCAATCAGCCCCCTGGAGTTGGGGGGGGGGGCTGTGCAGGCACTGGGCTGAACCTGCTGGGCGAACTGGGTGAACTGGGTGAACTGGGAGGACGTGGATGAGGCAGAGGAGGCGCATCCCATCCCATCCCATCCCATCCCTTTGGTGGCAGAGGTGACAGAGGACACTGTGTCACCCCGGGGTGCCCCAACCTTTGCCTCCCCCTCCAAGTGGGGGAGAAACACCCGGGTGGGAGCAGGTTTGGCCTCCGGGAGCGAATCCATCCCGCTGGGAATCACCAATCCCCCTTTTTTTTCCTCTCCCCTGTCTGTCCCCAGGCTGACCTTCAAGCTGTGCCACCTGTACTGGAACTGGCCTGGCACCGTCCGTGTCCCAGCCCCCTGTAAATATGCCCACAAGCTGGCATTCCTGGTGGGGCAGGTGCTGCACCACGAGCCCAGCGCCCACCTGAGCGAGCAGCTCTTCTTCCTTTAGTGTTGCCAGGGCAGGAAAACCGGGATTGGGCCTGGAATTCCGCTCCCCAGCCGCCAACATGGGGGAATCTTCCTTAATTCCCCGTTCTGTTGTTAATTTATTCCCGTTATTTATTGGGTTTTAAGGGTTGCAGTGTCGGTTTGAAGGACGCTGGGGAGTGTCCCAGGGCTGGGTTTATCCCCCTGGGGGTGAATCCAAAGGAATATCCCCCTGTTTTCCAGTCCTCCCAGTAAAGGGGGTTGAGTTAACAAACCCCAGAGGTGCTGCTGCTCCCACAGCTCGTCCCTGTGCAGGTGCTGGTGTAAACCCCAAAGATCTGGGGGGTTTTTTTCTTGTGTTTCCAGGGAGGTTTCAAGTTTTTCCTGTGGTTTTTTTTTTTTTGTCTTTTTTCCAAGGTGCTGTTGAACAAACCAGCCCCAGGTTTGGCTGGTTCTCCTGTCCTTGAGGAGTCACTGGTTCCTCAAGGAGAATTCTCTGTGCATTCAGGTCGTTGTCCCAAGGGGGAAAGTTTTTGAGTTCTCACCTTTTTCAGGTGTGGGGGTTTTTTTTGCCTTAGTCAGGAGATGTTTGAGACCTTCGAGCCTGGGGCTGTGAGACCACGAAAAACACCCTAAAACACCCCAAAAGATGCCTCAAACCCCTCCTTGTGCATCCCCAGCAGGGATGGGGGTCCAGCAGGACCCTCCTCCCAGCCTCTCCCCTCCGTTTTAATGCCAAAAAAGTTGGAATTCCTCTATTTTTTTGCCTTTGCTGTGACCAGTTTTTGGTTCTTTTCAATAAAACTGTTGCTGGCAGCTGCTCCTTCTTGGAGTGGGGGGGTGGGTGACAGGGGTGGGTCATTCCCCCTCATTCCCAGGGATGGAGAGGGGACAGGGAGAGGGGGGGTCACAGCAATGCTGTCACCCTGTGCCCCTGGTTAATCATTGATCCCTTTATCCCTGTTTATTTGCCGGTCCAGGCGGACTTTGGCAGCCCTGGCCCAGCCTGGGTTGGGATTTGGGAGCAAAACTTGGCTCGGGGAGGGGGGCTGGGGGTGCTGGGACAAAGTGGGGGTGCAGGATGGGGGGGTCCCTGCTCCTCCTGGCCCCTCACCAGCAGCTTTTTATACCCCAGCACTGCCTTGTCCCTGCCCTTGCTGGCTCCTTGGCACAGGGAGAGGAGCCAGGACCAGCCCTGGCTGCCAGGCTGGCAGGATTTGTCCCTCCCCCAAATCCCCCCAGCCCTTCCAAGGGGGTCCCTGGGGTGCCCTGTCCCCTTGGGAAGGGGCTGAGGGGTGTCCTGTGCCCCCAAAGGGTATCTGGGGAGGTGGTCTGAGGGATGTTCCGTAACCCCAAGGGTTGTAGAACCCCCTCCTGTGCCCCTGAGGGGTGTTTTGGGGGGTCCTTGGGGTGCCCAGTGCCACTGAAGGGACATTTAGGGGGGTCCATGTGGTGCCTTGTGCCCCCGGGGTGGGTTTTTGGGTGGTCTTCGGGTGGTTTTGGGGGGTCCTGGGGTGGGTTTTAGGGTTTTTTTTAGGTAGTTCTTGTGTGTTTTTTTGGGGAGTGGGTGATTTTTAGGGATCCTGGTCCCCCCAGGTGTGTTTTTGGGAGGTTTTGGGATGTGGTTTTTGGGGGTCCAGTTCCCCCTAAGTGTTGTTTTGGGGGTCCCTGTCCCCGCAGATGTGTTTTTGGGTGTTTTATGGGT